ATGCTTCATGTGTCTTTTTAAGGCTAGAAGATTCTGATCACAATGTTTCAACTCATTTGTTGATTGCAAAATCAAAGGTAGCTCCGCTTAAACGCACTACAATACCTAGGCTTGAACTATGCGGCGCTCATTTACTTGCCAAGTTGCTTCACTATTGCATCAATAAGTTTGATAAACAATACCATATTACAGCTATCAATGCGTGGTCAGATTCTATGATTGCTCTGTCATGGATCCACACCCCATCTTACAAGCTAAAACTATTTGTAGCAAATAGAGTAGCTCAGATACAAGAGCTTACTCCTTCATGCATATGGAGACACGTTTCCTCAGCAGAGAACCCTGCTGATTGCGCCTCTCGTGGCCTAACACCTTCCGCTTTAATGAATCATGAGCTCTGGTGGTCAGGACCTAAGTGGCTTAAATGGGACTCAATTACATGGCCACAAACTAAACTTTCCCCAGATCCTGAAGAATCTCTTAATGAACTGAAATCAGAGACATTCAACCTCATAACATCAACCGATGACTCTAAACTACATTTTTTAAGTAAATATTCCTCATGGTCTAAACTTGTAAACGTTATGGCTTATGTTCTTCGTTTTATTAAATGTCTAAAGCTAAAGGCAAAAATAACCACTCATCGCATATGTTGGTGTGTGCAAAAGGAATGCTTTGCAAATGAGATCAAATCGCTCCAAGCTAAGAAAACATGTTCTACTCAAATACAACGGCTTGCACCCTTCTTAGATGAAGAAGGAATCATACGAGTTGGTGGAAGACTGAAAAATTCACCACTTAAGTACAGTGCAAAACATCCCATTTTGCTTCCCAAGAACCATTTTGTAGTCCACCTGCTGATTGATTTCTTTCATAAAATATATCTACATGCAGGACCACAACTCCTTCAAGCAATGTTAATGCAAAACTACTGGATATTGTCTCAGAGAAGTGTTATACGCTCCAGAATATTTAAATGTATTCGATGTTTCAAAGCTAAGCCTAAAATGACAGCACCTTTAATGGGCGACTTACCTGCTGGACGTGTTACGGCTACTCGTTGTTTCAATGTTTCCGCTATGGATTATGCTGGACCTTTTACAGTAAAGGTTCACATCTTACGTCGACTGCAGCCAATTAAAGTCTATCTCTGTTTATTTATATGCTTTGCCACAAAGGCTGTACATTTGGAGATGGTCACAGATCTTTCAGCAGATGCATTCATTGCTTCCTTAACTAGGTTTACTGCCAGACGAGGCACTATATCAGATTTATATTCAGATTGTGCCACCAATTTCACTGGAACAGCCTCAACGCTTAAAAAATGCTTCCAAGACCTAATGATAAAACCTGAAACACAACGGTTTGCCCAGAACAACAAAATAACTTTCCATTTCATACCACCTCGAGCTCCACACCAAGGAGGCTTGTGGGAGCGGGCAATAAAAAGTGCCAAATACCACTTGAAGAGAGTCATAGGTACACAAATCCTAACCTATGAAGAGTTTCTAACACTGATTGCTCGTGTTGAGTCAATGTTAAATTCAAGGCCTATTACACCACTCTCTGCAGACCCATCTGACCTTGAAGCGTTAACTCCAGGACACTTCCTGACAGGAGGACCTCTGACGTCTCTAATAGAACCTCATCTCACGGATATCTCTGTAAATCGCCTGAAACGGTGGAAACTTGTGCACGCATTTGCTCAACACTTATGGAATAGATGGCATAGAGAGTATTTGCAGACCCTCCAAGAACGATCTAAGTGGACTACTCCAGAAGAAAACCTCAAGATCGGAGACTTAGTAATCATTCATGAAGACAATACTCCACCTCTTGCTTGGATGCTTGGTCGAATCATCTCAGCCTCTCCTGGTCAAGATGGCACTGTAAGAGTCGTTCAAATCAAGACGTCTACAAAAACCTTAACACGACCTGCAGTTAAGGTTTCCCGCCTTCCTATAAACTAACCTAACATAACTCTGGCTACCAACCCCCTTCCTTAATTTTATTCCTCATATTTCAATCATGCATGGTTCTTGTTTTTCTGTTGAACCGGATCAGTTCAAGGGGGCCGGTATGTCAAATATATATACTGTTTTGTTTTAAGTATTCTTATATTAATTTTTAATTTTAATGCACTCTAATAATATGCAACTGATTTCACCACAATCTCCATTAAACACCATTTCAAATAGTTAAATGTTTTCCTCATAGAGTGCATCAGTATCTTCAAATCCCAATGGTTTCAAGACTAGCTCTCTGATTGGTCACTGATATGTATCACATGACCAACTCCTTCCTTCAGTAGAGTAGTGGCTCACTCTTGGGCAAGTCCTGTTGCTATGAGGACTTAACATGCCTTTTCTCCTACATTTTCAAATACCATAAACCTCTTTACCAACATAAATATTTACCGCTGGCTTATAACTTATTATAAAGACAATTGAAGTGTTTTTTAACATCATATAGTGTGAAAAAGTGAACTTATCAACATTATAGCATTTCAGGATTCATCAAAGGGGGCCCCCAGTCTACACATCAGTTTAATAACAAAAGGTTAGTGTATCCAATTCAAAATTACTATAATACAGTCCACATTGCTTTCTAATTAACATAAATTCCCCACACTTGGTGTTATACTAGACCGCACACTGACATTTAAGGCACATTGTATTGGGACAAGAGGTAAAGTCTGAGTGAGGAATAATATATGGCATCTTTTATTCCCCAATGAAGGGTTATGAAGGTAGGCAATAGGAAAAATTGTATCCCTTGAAATTTTAACCCACTATTGTTGATGAAACTCCTCTTTTGATATGATTGAATGCAAGAGGGCAGGTAAACACTTATCCAGCATGACAAGTGAAAGCATCCTGGTCAGACCATGATAACAGGCTTTCATAGAGGGCTGTGGTGCAAATATGAGTGTTTTTGGATTTGTTTACTCTGAAAACCTCCTAAATACTAACAGAAACTTTTTAAAATATTGTAGCTATAAAAACAAAACTATTTTACATAAGTTATTGTTTGATAAATGATTGCAGAGAAAATTGCCAATACAGATTCCTATGTGAATGTAACATAGTTTTGAGTTCTTATGTGACTAAAGGATAAGGAGGAGTTAACAAGGGATCTTGATAACTCTATTGATTTGGTTTAATACAATAAAAATCCCTCAACAGGTTGAGCTTTACGGTTTTACTAAATGTCTTGATTAGATCATGTGAACTGGCTTTCATGTGGTTTTATGGAGTGAATATGGTTTTTTTGCATATTAGTCACAAAAACATCCAACAAAATTTAAGATATTTTCGGTTTTACATATTCTTTAATGACATTAAAAGAGTTACAGTCCACTCTTGGTAATTCAAACACTTGATAATTCAAAACTTTCGATAATTCAAAATGAAGGCTCAGTCCCTAGAGAATCTCTCAATATTTCAAATTTTTACCATGCATTTTGATACACTCGGTATTTCAAAGTCCAAATAGAGGGCAGGTCAATTTGTAACACGCAGTAATTCGAAGTTTCGTCGGAAAAACACTCTATAACTCGAAGTAACTCAGTAATTCGAAGTTTCGTCGGGTAACACTCTATAATTCGAAGTCATGCTGTAATTCGAAGTTTCATCAAAAAAACACTCTATAAATCAAAGTCACACAGTAATTCGAAGTTTAGTCGGCAAAACACTCTATAATTCGAAGTGATCTCTTCCTGTTATAACAGGAAACTATACAGTACCGGTACAGTACATCCTGTTCCCATGGTAGGCTAGTGTTGGACGTTTTGATGTTTGTTTGGTTAGAGCAGTAGTCTGAGTTAGTTCGCTGACTTGTTTTTCTAAGTTGGCAATCCGATCTCTAGATTGTGCGACATCTCATTGAGCACAAACGTAGTTGTTGACAGCTGATAGTTCAGCTATTGGCGAAATATGTACAGTAGCGCTAAATAACAGATTTCTTTGCAACTACAGTAACTGAAAAATAAGCAGTTGATTGTTTAAAAGTGTACTAAAACACGGTATGATGTTTTATTGTAACGTGCTGTACCTTTGTATGTATTAAACAAATGAACTCTCTGTAATTCGAATGGTTTATTTTTCTCCTGATAAATCAAACTCTTGATAATTCAAAACTCTTGATAATTCAAATTTATATGCTTGGCCCACCAATTTCGAATTATCAAGAGTCTACTGTATCAAGATCCCTTTTTCTTTAGTTTGCTATGACGATATAAAACTTTTTGTGGAAAGTTGCTTCCATCCATGACTCTTGAGTCCTTGCTGAAGGCTATTGATGATGACTCAGCTAAGACTTGACCAAAGATGATGGTGAATCCCACCAAGAATAAGTTAAAAATGTTTTGCATTAATCAAAATTCTCTGGATATTGAATACTTCTTAGATTTTTATCGACTTGTCTTCATATGAGTTTAAGCCAGACATTTACCACATTTGCACCAAAACCTCTGGCATTCTCAAAATGATCTCCCTGCTCTGCAAGACACTGCTCTGCAAAAACAAAAGACCTAAATGCTCAAATTTTGTATAATTTCACTCTATTTGTTGCAGTTAGATGAATTAGCGTAAGCCTTGAAAGGAAACCGTTGATTTCAACGGGTTTCACTTAGTATCTTTTAATTGCCTTTTAATTACTTTGGGCTAGGTAGCTGTTATAAATGCAATAGATAATGAACAACCGTCAATTATCTCTATTGACACTGACATTTTTAAATACGGCAGTGTACTGTTATTTCGTCGTACAAGGTTGGCAACGCTCCGTGCAGTGGGTGTGGTCGGGTTAGCGAGTTCCAGAGTTAGCGAATTGCGCCACGGGACAAAATCGAGTTAGCAAATTCTGGAGTTAGCCAATTCCTTACTGGGACGGTTAGCCAGTCCTAGAGTTAGCCAGTCCTGCCAGCCGACCGGGTTAGCTAGTTCCAGAGTTAGCCAATTCCTACGTCTCCTCCTCACACATCTGTATCAAATAAGCATTACCTGATCATGGTAACAAGAAGAGAGTAATCAACTTCTGGGTTGACAGTGCCTGGACTGATGGGTCGCAGCAGCTGAAGCATGGACTCAATGGTGGTGAAAAGGAACCTGCAAACATAGGTAGTGACTGCATTAGTATAGAATGTTACACTGGGACCTACTCTCAATATGTGCTGGATAATACAAGTAAGGTTTTATGCCTGAAAATAACATTTTTCCCACACTACACCTTTTTAGTGGACTTTCCAAGCAAGGATTTAGTCCGCAAAACTGCTGTTAGCCACCTTCTAAATCAAATGGAATTTCATTATGTACTACTATACTGTAATGAATTTTTACCAGACACCATCAGATCATAATTGGCAATGAGTAGTTATAAACAAAAATATAACCTCTCTTAGAAGTTATTGTAGTGACAGCTGGTTTAATATTTTTCACTAGCTGTTCTACGCACGGGGATCGATCTTATAGTAGTCAGTTGAATGTGACAAAAATCACACAATGTTGGGTTTTTGGACATTTGTAATTTCATTTCTTAAGTAGGTAGGCCAAGTATTCTATGGAAAAGTAGAGGTATCAAGGATCGTCGTTGTAAAGATTGTTATGAATAAATAGGTAGGCGTACGTACCCAAGAGATGGGCTATGGGCCTATAGGCTGTATGGTCCAGCGATTGCTGAACAGAAAGTGACACATTGGAAAAGCGAGTTTGAAATGAAATGAAATGAAATGAAAATGCTTCTTTATTGAGGCGAACTTAGGACCACATGGTCCTTTCTTACAGTTAACCTCTAAAAAACTAATTATAACAACAAAATAATAACAAAAAATACAATTAAGTTTGTAACATAGCTAGTAATAAGATAGCATAAATCTATTCATTTTCCCTAACATCCAGTCACACACACATACACCCTCTGCTGCATCTAGGCCTAACGCACGCCATCCCGCCAAGCCACGGCCATCCGGTCAAGGTAATATTCTTTCAGCGCCACCATCAGTCGGGATCGGTTTCCTATAGATTTGATGGGCAGAGGTATGGAGTTCCATAGGCGGCAGGCTGTTACTAAAAATGATTTATTATAAACAGTTGTTCTATGATGAGGAATGCGAAGCGTGGACGAGCCAGAGCGGGTATCCCTTGCGCCTCTTCCATTCAAAAATTTAAAATTCTTTGCAAGATAATTTGGAATTCCAAGATTGATGACTGAATGAGTAATGGAAAGTATTCGTATTTTTCTGACGTCCTCTAATTTCAAAATTGATTCATTAATGTAATAGGGTGTGACATGGTCATCACGCCTAAGATTGAACAAGAATCGAACACAATAATTTTGTACACGTTGTAATTTTGTTGCCAAAGCCACAGTCATATCATTAACCACGGTGTTGCAGTAGTTGAAGTGTGGAAACACGAGTGATTTGACCAGTAAGAGTTTAATGTGAAAAGGTAGAAGTCGTTGCATCTTCTTCAGTGTGTGAACAGCGGCAAACACTGTTTTACAAGTGCTTACCACCGCGTCAGTCCAGTCCAATGTGCGGTTTAGAGTCAAACCAAGACTTTTTACTTTGTCCTGGTATTGCAAAGTGGTTCCGTTTACAGTGATTTTTGGTAAAATGTCTAAGTCCACTTTGTTGAGTAACCGTGAGTGACCTATGATGATTGGCTTTGTTTTGTCAGGATTGAGTCTAAGTCCGTTCTTTTCTGCCCATTGAACAATTCTGTTGATGTCGTGATTCATCATGTTTATAGTTTCATTTGCATCGCTCACTTTAAAATGAGAATAGATTTGCAAGTCGTCAGCGTACAAATGAAACTTTGCGTGGTGTAGAACTGTACTGATGTCATTGATGTAAATGGTGAAAAGCAGAGGACCAAGAATTGAACCCTGGGGAACTCCGCAGGGAACATGTCTCCAGTCGGGCGTCAAGTTGTCATGAGAAACACACTGCTTTCGGCTCTGAAGATATGATCTCATCCATTTTAATGAATTATTAGAGAAACCTAACAGTTTGAGTTTGGCTAGAAGAATGCTATGGTTTACGGTATCGAAGGCTTTACTGAAGTCAAATAATGTTAAGATAGTACATTGGCTACGATCCATAGCAAATCGTATGTCATCAGTTACATGAAGCATTGCCGTTTCAGTACTGTAAGATTTACGAAAACCTGATTGAAAGCTATTGAGGATGTTGTTTTGTACCAAGAAGTCAGAAACTTGGGAGTGAATGACTCTTTCTAGTGCCTTAGAAAGAGCGGGAAGAATGCTAATTGGTCTGTAGTCTTGCGGAAGCGATGGGGATGAGATTTTATTCAAGGGACGGACAAGCGCAGACTTCCACTTTTCTGGGAAAATACCTGATTTTAGTGAAGTATTAAATATGAAAGTTAATGTTGGGAGGAGAGCAAACAAGATACGTTTAATTAAAGAAATTGGGATTCTGTCAGAACCAGTGGCTTCAGACGTTAACCGCCTTATAGCCTTCAAAACATCGATTTGCAATATTGGCTTGAAGTTAAATTGAGTGATGGAATTTGGCAAATGGCGTAACTCTGTTAAATGGTTCTGAACTATTGTACCGTTTGCCTGTGATGAAACTGTTAAAAAATAATCATTTAAATCGTTCAACGGAATTGATATGGGGACAATGTTAACTTGCTTTCCAAAGCCAAAACGTTTTAGATTACGCCAGCAAATAGCAGAGGATTGCTTTCCTTCAGAAAACAATCTATTAAAAAATTGGAGTCGAGCATTGCGTAAATGTTGTTTTACTTGATTTCTAAGCTGGCGATATTGGGCCATGAGCCCTTGATCCCTAGTTCTTTTGGCTCTGCGATGGACTGAGTCCCGCCGAGCCATTAAACCAATTATCTCATCATTAATCCAAGGAACGGGGCGACTTTTACTAACCGTAGTTTAGCATCATCCGTAAACCTCTGTTACAATCACCCACTGCAGTAGTGATTTTTTTACTTAACACTTTACACAATCACCATTGAAGCGCCGTCAATGAGTTTGTAAGCTATTGGCGACAATTATTAAATGTCCCAGCCCTATACAACACTGATTCAAGTTTTTTTTTTTTTGCTTATCAAAACTCAAGAACAATTTTATACACAAAGAATTTCTGGTTCCTGACCTGGATGATGCCTAGTTATTTAATTTCATTTTTGGTTACACTATAATATTGCACTTGCGGTTAATTAAATCTGTTATGTAAGAAAAACGTTTTTAATCTCAATTGGTTGGTTTTTGCTTTCAAAACGTGATCGGAAATGGTTGCGGTATTTGTAAACAACATTTGTAAACATATCAGTGACAGCTAGAAAAAATAATCTTTTGATCCGAACAGCTGTTAGTTATTTCATATGATTAAGTGATAAAAACTGTACGAAAATTTTACAAAAATCACACAAAATTGCATTTTTGAACGTCCGTAATTTTATTTACAAAGTAGTGAGGCCATATTTTAATAGCTATAAAGACACTCTCCCCAATCCAGTGAATACATTAAAATGACTTGGGACTTGATTGGTACTCTCGTTTTTATGGAGAAGATTGCGTAAAATGCCATCTTGAGAGTTACAGACAGACAGAAAGACAGACAGACAGATAGACAGACAGACAGACAGAAATAGAGATAAGACTTGTTTTTGCTTCTTTAATGTATAAAACGTAAAAATAACCTAAAATATATAATTCTGAGCAATGTACAGACAAAACTCTAATTTTATTTATATAGATTTATTTTGCTAACACATGTTATGATTATTGTTTGTTGTTTGTATTTCAGTTTTTACCTAGTTACTTAAATAAAAGGTTGTACATTTTTCTAGTGACATATTATTTAGCACTGCTACATGGTGGCAGTGGTTTAGTAAAGGTCCAATTCCTATCCTGTACTGTTACGACTCAGTCGCGCGGCGGCTTGTTACGACTCAGTCGCGCGGCGGCTTGTTACAACTCAGTTGCGCGGCGGCTTGTTACGACTCAGTCGCGCGGCGGCTGAAAAAATTGACTGCTTTAATGCAAAGTAAATGCAACCCATTCCTATTGAGCGTCTACAGCTGCGCGACTGGAGCCGCGCGGCTAGAGCCGTTACGACTGGACTGCTCCGTGAGCAGTTCAGTCGCTTCAGTCACGCGGCTGTAACAAATTTATAGTTTAATATACGGAGTTTGAGTTTGTGCACCTTCATAGATGATGGAACCGGTTCGTCACCGCCCATATGTTTTCAACACCAAGAACCCCCAATACTTTAAGAAGATGTCTCTGAATGAGAATACTCTTATATCCCTGTTTTCGCCGTACCACAAACAACGGATTAGGTTGTTCATTGTTTTTTACCATGCACATTATTTTTTTTTCTTTTCCTCCTCTTCTCTAAGACAAATGACAAAATGACAATTCTTTATTGCACATAACATCTGTTAAAAGTTATTACAAACGTAATACACAGAAAGGTACATTGTCAAGGTTTCTAAAAAATAAGGAATTCTAAATATATAAAAAAAAAACTTAAGATTTAGCCAGTAAGGTACCCCTACAAAAGCTACAGCATGGTGGAACTGTTTATGTTAGGAGAGGTTGATGAGAGAATGGGTGTCTGTTACCAGGTGTCGTTGAAAAATTCCTCAAGAGTGTAATATGCTTTTTCTACTAAAACTGTTTTGATTTTGTCTGTAAATTTTGCTAAGTTTAATTGCTTTAAGGAGTTTGGAATTTGATTGCAAGTTTTTAACCCCATAGAGAGGACTTGTTTCATATTTTTTTAAATTATGAGTGGGGTATTGAAAAATGTCTTGTCTTCGGGTATTATATGAGTGATTACTAAGATAATTTTGAAACATACCAGGATTTCCATGAACCATTTTTAAAATTTAAAAAACGTATATTGAAGTTAGAGTTCAAATTTTAAAATTCCAAAAAAATTGTCTACATGATGTTTATTTGGGCCAATTTGCAAGAGTTCTGATAATTGACTTTTGTTTTTTAAAAACTTTGTGGACATCTTTGGCTGTCCCCCATAATGTAATACCATAGCTTAAAATAGAGTACACATAAGCACAATAAACATTTTTACATACTTCCAAGGAGGTAACCTGAA